CCAGCCAGCCAAAGTTCCTTGTTGCATATTCTTTCTCACCTTCTCGTCTGATCTTCATTATCGAGCGTAGGCAGCTGTTGATGAATGTCTGTGGTTTGTTGGAAATGGTTTTCGTTACGCGCCAAGTTTCTAAACCATATAGGAGCACTGACTTGACGTTGGTGTTGAAAATCCGGATCTTGTCCCACATGCTGAGTGGAGTGCAGGTCTCCACACTGGTTTCAGGCTAACGAAGGCCTGTCTTGCTGTGTTTCCGATCCTGGCTGGCTTTGATGTCCTCGTCTGTGCCGCCTGTAGTTGAAACAGTGCTGCCTATGTAAGTGAAGGAGGCTACTTCCTTTAAGTTTCTCCCGTTGATGGTGACTGGAGTTTGTTGTTGTTGTTGTTGTTTGTTGGGTATCTTCATCACCTCTGTCTTCTCTACGTTTTCTTGAAGTCCCGTCTTCGCTGCCCCACCTCTTCTGCTAACTTGTTAGTTTTCGCCTGTAGATCATCGAGTTTGTGCAATATTAGACATGAATCAAAACGCGAAATCCAAATCATCTAAGGTCTGTTCATCGGCCCAGTGTATCCCTCTCTTCTCGCTTCTGGCGGTTTGCTGCATGATCCAGTCCACCACAATTAGATCATCGGTGATAGTGGGTGGCAACTTTGTCTTACTCCTGTCCTCACTTCAAAGGCGTCACTGAGCTTCCCACTGTAAATCACTTGGCATATGGTGTCTTTATATAGCTGTTGAATGAGATTGGTAAAGGTTTGTGGTATTCCGTGGTGTTGAAGCAGCTACCTGCCAAATTACTCCTCGGTCGACAGTGTCGAAGGCCTTTTCAAAGTCGATGAAGTTGAGGTAGAGGGTTGACCTGCCATTCTATACTCTGTTCTATGATGATGCGAAGCGTAGCGTTGCAATTTGTTCCTCACTGCATGATAGCCCTCGATGCTCTTGAGGACATCATGATAGCCACTTCTTCAGTGTGCCGGTGGTTGTCGTCTGGGTGACAGTATCGGAGTAGATTATTGACTCTCCAGTTGACAGTTGTGAGAGTTCACTCCCTTTCCATCTGCTTTCGCTGATTCCTAACACCTCTATCCCATACCTTCTCATCTCTTTTGCAATCTGGGCAGCCTTGCCAGCCAGCTTCAAACATTGTGCGGACATTCCATGTCCCTGTGATTACTTTTGTTTCATCGAGAGAGAGTGGGAAGACACATCGACCAATTGGCTTCCCGAAGGCTTTCACAACCGGCGTCATTTCGTCTCCCCGATTCCAGTAAGGAATAAGCTTGATTTAATTTTTTATGTTTTCTTTGTGCTTTGAAGTTTCTGTAGCGGTTGGATTGGTTTTCCTTGGTAGGGTTCCTGGCCCTATGCCCAACCTTCCCTCTTTATCCGGGCTTAGGACCGGCTAGTAACTGGTGAACTAGTTAACCAGGCGAGGTTATGGATAAATGTAATTAGAAAACGAAGTTTATCTGTACAATGTGATTTATTTGCACATTACGTTTTGAACGATTTGATCACAGATTTACTTGTATGAGGAGGACAAATAGAACAGTTGAGAAAACATGAAGAACAAAACTTGAAAAACAAATGGATTGTGCAACTTTGATAATCGCAGGTGGAAGACTACCTCTTCATCTATAGCTTAACATATTATTGGGACGAGTCACAAAATTAGTGTTCGGACAGCTTTCAAAGTTTTATGCGGAAACAGACCGAGATGCATACTGAGATTTACGGAAGCGATAGTTATACACATTGAAACCGCCTTTGTGTGTAGAAAAACAATTTGTTCTTATATTGCACCTATCTTGGTAAACGTTTTTTTGTTACGAAGAATAGGATTAATTATGTCACTGTTTTTTATGTTCTCTTTCCTAATTTTAGTTTCTATTATCTCAATTGTTTTGTCTGCCATCCTTCACTTCTGTATAAATTGACTTGACAAAAAAATATGAGATCAAATTGTTCTAAATGTAATGCGCAAATACATCACTTTGTACAGATAAACTTCGTCTTCTAATCATACTACCTAGTATTGTTTGTTTTTCCAGTCCGATGGATTTCTGTGGTTATTCGTCTGTTATTTTATTCGTCATTGACTTCCGTTTATTATTAGTGGTTTTAGGTAGGACAAGATATTTTCTACGTTGATTGTATTTTTGAAATGCTTTTCTGTCAAGACTGAATATTACTCAAATCTCTGGATTTTGAAGTACTCAAATATTCAATTATTTACATGTGTATCACATTCACAACTGTTGCTTTGGTTAACTAACCCGTCAATAAATTTGCCTAATATTTTATTCCTATTCATTCACTTTCTTATAATGGTGATGCAGTGAACAAGGTCACATAAGTAGTAATATGCCTCAACTAGCTGATACAAGCTTGTGCACTAAGTTATGAGGACTAATAATACCACATGGTTTCCCAGATCGAAATTCTTATTGTGTCACTTGAACTTTGAATCACACTGCGTGAAATTTGAGTGCCGAAGCCAATGAATCGCAGCCTGGACTAAAACGGTGTAATCATTGATTTCACTGCCGACATCTATTTATTTTATGAGCTATATATGAGCCACTAGTTTAAGGGATTTTTAAATTTAGTACTACAAAATGAAATCTTTACTGGTAGTTCTGTTGCTGTCATAGCTTGAGTTTTGTTACACCTTGGACTAAGTATCATATACAGTGCAGCTTCATAAGTTAGTAAGGTTGCGTTGTCTCTCTATAATCTTCTAAGGGCTACTTCCTACTAAACTGAATAACAGGACGATGTTTGCTTAATCCAGTGGAAATCTTTTGAATACAACCGGCCTCCCCACACACACACAAGTAGTTCTTTCCCACTTCAACCGCATACTTCATGTCCTCACCTTGTAGGGAAGGTTAGCAACAAGAAACAAAAATGAATGAAAATTCTGAACCATATCGTTTTAAGTCTCTAATAGTGTACTAAATATCAAGCAATAAAATGTTATTCATGCAGATTATCAACCGTAAATTCAACTATCGAAGGTAAAATAAAGGTAAAGGTAAAATAGGTAAAAGGTAAACTTTGATCAATAAAGATTTATTAGCAAGAAAGTCACTAAATATCCGTCTTATCATAAGTTGTAGTATGCACCATTCATACAATGTATAATATCTCTAGCACTTGCTTCTGAAGTTATTCTGAAGGTTTTTAGATAATTTTTGAAAGCTATTTCCATGTAGGTAGATGCATGAGTAGCAACAAAGCCTCCAGAGCATTTTAAATCTGAACCCATATATCAAAAATTAGGTTAATAATTTTGGTACCCTTTGAGTTTCGAAGTTTGTTCTTGAACTTTCGTCGTCAGGTTGCAGGACTTCATCAACTATCTCATAGAGAAGTGAGATATTTCAAGTTGTATAAATGTTTTTTTAGAATATTTGTCGACTTTGTTCGCAATTGACTAGGTTGATAGTATCATTTGACCAAAGGTAATCAGCTGAGAGTTAAGCTAATCCTTGCTGTCCAGCATGGTGATCATGATGTAAATGGGACTTAACCCAAAGTAATGGTATAGTGTAAGATGTTTTTCTCACTAGAGCTAACTGACGTCTAATAGGTCTGTTACATTATATTTTCAACTTCAATAACAAAACAAGAACGTACTTGAGAAAGTTATTCGCAGTGAATGCATGAAAATGTATTTATGGGCTTCAGAATAAGAGTCTGTTATAGGAGGCAAGCCAATCATTAAGAGAAAATATATAATATTATTTTTCGAGTTTGAGCCAAAAATCACACCAAATTTCAATTAATCTTCAAAGTTTTATCATTATTTTTACCAGACAGTCGAAATATTAAATAAACTACTGAATGCGAATCGATAAATCTCTACGAGGAGAGAGGAAGAGTACAGAAAAAAGGGGAAAAAGATAGAGAGGAAGCTAGTCACTTTAATTGGATTAATAGCTAGTAGGGATAAGATAGACAGTTATTCATCAATTCATGAAGTTTGCTATGAAAGTTTCCGAACACCTGAATTGTATACACTGAAAAAGTTTGTTTTATTTTTGGATCAAATGAATGGACTGTGTTGCGTGCGCTCAAGGCAATATTAAGGTGAATTGACTTATGAACTGCCTTTATTTGTTTATTGTCGTCGCTAGATGACCTCATGATTTTTCTATTTCACAATTATGTATATTATTTTGATTATTACTACTGTTATTATTATTATTATGGGTGTTTACCTCTAATACCTTAAGCGGTTTGTATTTTGTTTGGGTTGTCGTAGAATCGGATAGACATTTTTTGCAAAACGAAAATTTCACGTCTAGATTCACTTTTCTTCTTTTTTCCTTTGCATACTTCTCTATTGTCCTTCGCCAATCGACCTACTTAGGGCCTATGTGAACTGTAAAATATTTCACGCAGTTTTGTCTTACCCCTTACTCTTCTTTTTTGGCTCACCTCAGCTAGTGATAGGCAGGACTTAGTTACGTTGACACTGTACTTCCTTGTGTCAGCCTTCATTACTATTACAATGTTGTCCCCTGATTTATACAGTCCAAGGAATAGAGGAACATTGTTTGACTCCAGTATCTCCTCTTTCTTTTGTTTTTCACTTAGACTGCTGCACTAAACACATCTGAAATTCAATTCCTCAACATCATTTATGCAGGTTGAGTGGTTCTGTTAATGATACACATCACTGCACTGTTATTCGCTTGTAATTTCGCTGCATGTCGCCTATTACAGGTAAAAATATTCCAACCTTATTGAAAGGTGTGACTTACCGTCATTATACCGTAGTCTGTTAGAGCTAATGATACTACTTAAGTATTCAAACAATTGCCTGTGTAGGTGGAGCTTGATCCCGTGTTCCACTCGATTGAAAGTTGAATAACTAATCTAACAAGTTGCGACTTCCTTATTGTTTTCGTCCATGTTGATTCAGCAAATTTTTAATACGCCACGCTGACTACTTCACTTCTGTTTTTGGAAATATTTTTTATTATAGGTTTACGTTGGAACCGCTACATCACCAGATGATCTACATTCACCTAACATTGTTTGTTTACCGAAATCTAAGTGGCCAGATATTGAAGCCTATCATGTCATGTTTTGGCTACCGAAGACTCCAGTTAACCCAAACAGTATGAAATCATATGAAGGATGGTTGGCTTGTCGCCCGTGTTTACTCACTTCCTCTAAGGGAAGTCATCAGTCTACTCACAAAATTACTGAAGTGTATCTCAATAACAATCTCTTAACAGTACCATTGAATTCAAGTTATCAGGAAATGGTTTTTTGGCTTAAACCTGGTGATATATTACGTCTTGGCAAAGCTAAATGGAAACTGAAAGTTTGGTCATATTTAGAGCTCCCATCATATCCGTCTATCGGAGTAAAAACCGCTCAACTGAATGGCACCCACAGTAGCAGTATGCGTGACGATAATATTGCAATGAATAACGAGATTCCTAAATTACCACCTACCGTCATTCCTTTTAAAAACCAGTATTTGTCTAATGATGCTACGATGATTGATTGTAATTTACTACCTCATTATAAGGCTGTTTCACCTTGTTTAAACGTTCCTCCTCATATGAATGCATGCTCTCCCGAACGTATTACACAACATACTTCATATTTAGATGATAAGAAATATTCTGAAAGAATGAACACATTTTCAATGGGGAAAGGAAAACAGGTAATTGTTGGAAATTTACTAATATAGCCATCTTTTTATGCCTACCCTTTGTCTATCATTTTGTAGGGATTGCTATAGGTTATGCTGGGTAATGTTTGAAGGTGAATGAAAATTTGGACCGCTGCCGAACTCGAACCAGCGATTGTAGTCCAAATTTTTACTTCACCTTCAATCACCACCCAGTATAAAATACTAGTCTGCCAAACCATGGCTCAGATGTTCAAAATGATAATTACTGTAGCTATCAAGTCTACTTGCTGACTTTGAGGATAGCAGTAGCATATCCAATCAAGACGATACTGGACAATTTACTTGGTTTTAAGTCTCATTATCACTGTGACATTTACTGCTTTCGGAACCAAACACATTAATCATTTCTAAGTTCCATATGATTGATTCCAGAAATCGAGTTAATGTTTAAAATACGCAGTGATGAAATTTGACTCAGTAGCTCAACCGTATTTTACACACCAAAAAAACTGATAGTTATGTTCATTTGTATAAAATTTCAAGCTTGTTCAATGCTGAAACGTGATATAGAAAAGAAGCCGGATATTTTATCAATGATCCCTCAGTTATCAGCACTTTAGGTGATTTATCGTAGTCTGACGCCTGTTTGGAGTTTTAAAACAAACTTGACAAATTTGATTGGGTTTCGGGCATGGATGAGGGTGTGTAGTCAACAGTTCCACAATTGTATGATATCATTGATCTAGTTATAATTCATCATATTTGATTGAAATATCATGCATTAAACAATACTGTTTCACTATGCGCCATTTGAAATGTGAACGTTATTATAATGATATAATAATGTATATTTCTCATAGAATACTAGTTACACGAAAAAATACCAGTTTCGCAGTTATAATCAGTTAAAAAAACTTTGCATTTTAGCGTTTTCCTATCATGGTTGATGGCCTCGTTTTTATCTTACTGCCTTATATCTCGCTGAAACCAAATCCGAACAATCTTCCCGTAGATATCCTGCATTTTAACAAACATAAATTTGCCAACATATTTATAATTTTGATCCTACTAAGAACAGTTGAATAACATTCCTGCAATTAAAAAATAACTGTAACAATCTTTGAAATGTAACTTAGTAAAATAGTAAACTGGCTTTAGTGCCACCGACTTGCGTTTTAATGTTAACACATGATTCGTAAACGTATTGTATTCAAAGTAGAAACGTTGAATTAGTGAATAGAATCAATCCCACAGAAGCTTCTTCAATGTCAAAACATATTTATTCTGACCATCATTGAATACATTCGTTTGCATTATATACTGAGAAATTTTCTGAAAACTACCCACACTCTCATGTATATCTTTTGCTGAAGGATAGCCATATTTCCCCCCTCTTATGAGTTAAGAGAAAGCAACAGATTTCTTGGTGAAACCAACTTATCCACTGGTCCGTTTGTTATGCTTACCTTATTCATTGGTTCTTAGTAAGCAAAATAACAGGGGTAACTAAGGTTCCGTATTTATTTACTTTTTATTACTATGACGTAGCGCCCTCAATTCGCGATTAAGATTCTTATCACATATCTTTTATTGCCACCCTACTTGTCGACAAAACGATATCGCCTATTTTAACTCATATGAATGACTGGTTGTAACTCTAGTTTCTTGAATACTGCTTCATGGTTTTACTCAATAAACAAGACAATGTAATCTCTTCCACGCTGGAAATTCATCATGAATAGTTGCATTACTAAGAGTATTATATCACTTTTTTTATATCATACCATTCTTATTTCTATTTTTCAACGTTGTAGAGTGATCCGTCAGCTAAAGTATGCCCTATGGCTATTGCAAACTCCATTTGTGATTCATTTTCATCTCTGTCGTGTACTTCAATGTCTGAAACAGTCTCCAGTGACTCGACTGCTTCATCGTTAAAAGTTATATGTGCTACAGAACTGAATCCTAATGCCGTTATCAAGTTCAAGCTTATTCTGACGTCAATTCTGCACAACCGATGAACAGTGACAGTGAAAAAACCGTTAGTAAGACTAATGATAAAAATGAATCGTATCTCTCCGATACTTGTCATGCACCATGCTGTAATAGTGCATCTGACTCCTGTCCTGGTGTCTGTTGCCAATCTCATCAATTATTGAAACAGTGTGAAAATTCTCTGTCTTCTTCTAGTCAAAGGCCTAATATTGTTGCCCTTGTAGACTCTCAATCACATTTGAATGATTCAGTTTCTTCTGGTAAGTTCGGAAATTTCGTTACTTCTTGAACTTTTTTCTGGAAAACAGTTTATGCTTTAAATGTAGTTCCATTTTGCTGAGTTGTTGCTTTAACCCAATATGGGTATGTACCTGCAAACTCAAGCGAGAACTGCGGAAATGCCTGTGCGTAATAGGCTGCCTTTTCTTTTCCAAGCAACTTTTTGTCACTAGTTAGGTAAGTTGTAAATCAAGACGAAATGTGTAGGTCTTGGAATCGACTTTCTTCTCACCTTCCCTGTACTTGTTAAAGTACTGATCCCTAGAGAGTATCTTGCTGTTGTGACGTCCAATGGTAAAATTACATTATCAAGCCTTCATTACTGGGAATTTTCGCACAAAACGATAACGACTGTGGGACGATTTTATGTGATTCAGGATAGATTCCTTGTATGTGCAGAGTAGTCATGTTGACTGTTGTTTACAGATTTGGTAACTTTAGCATCCACAACTAAACTAATACAAGCAGTTATACTAAACTTTGGAGTTTTAATTTCTACCTAGCAGACAGTGGTTAAGATTACACTTTGATATAAGCCTTTACTGTCCCACTTTGACTGGTCCTATGTCTCCAATCCTCTAATGACATCATGTTACTCCAAAAAGCTTTTGTGTAATAATTAGTTAGCAACAAAACTTCTAACTAGGTATATAAACCGAACCGTGGAATACAGTGTTGCCTTTTTCTCGTAGATCGAGTCGGGTTTTTAGTATTCTGCGACTGTTTTTGGAAATGTATGTTATAGGTGTTCAGTGACCGTTGTGTTATTAAGTGGAAGTGGAAAAAACCTAATTTGCCACAGGGCTTTATTCAGCATTCTCTTCATGGATTTTCCGTCTCGCCCTTCACTTCAGTTGCAAGTGTAATGAGAATACTTAGATACGCAGCTATTATTAAGATATGAAGAGTTGTTTGTCTTGTGCTAAAACTGAAAGACAGGGACAAAGTAACTGAACATGATCACTCATGTTAGCAGAACGTAGTAATCTGTGTCTAGATTGAGACCCTACTAAAATGAGTGATCTAGAAAAGAATTCACCCGCAATTATGCATGTGATAACACAACCACACAACAAGGTGGGACAAAGTTAAAGTTCTGAAGGGTAATGTAATAAAGTGGAGAGACAGAGAGAGGGCGATCACTGAATCTCTGTTCATCAATTCAACACCTAACACGCGCAATCGGGATGATTCAACACGGATTCCAGATATATGAAAAGTCTTACTACCTATTAAAATCAAAGAAGGAAAGCGGCAGAATTACTCAAAAAAACTGAGATATTAGGTTGTGTGATCACCTGAAGAGGAATATGAGCAATAAATTTGTCTCGAAACATCCTCTAGTAAATAACACTATATCGCTGTGTGCCAGATCAAGTAAACTAATCTGATATGGAATTACGTCCTACCACAATACCTCTTAAGAAACTTCAAAGCACAATACCTAAATTGTATGCTTACCAGGGACAAATGTGAGTGAATAAATGGAAACTGAAACCTGATTGGCAGTTCTCTTTCCTAGCTCATTTGAAAAATCACTTAGGTCAGTTAACTCGAAATTAGCTAGTATGAATTTTATCGTCCACTAAGTTGTCATTTTGACTACGAACATTATATCCGCTTTTATATATTGCTATACCAATGAATGCTATTATGGTTTAAGTAACAGTTCTCACTTAACTTTTTTATTTACACAGAACATTTCCTTACTCCTAACCATTCACATTGTTCATCTATAACAAAAGAAGATCATACCTACACCAAAGGAAGTTCAACTCGTACTAAATCTGTTTCTGATCTATTACCCTGCCAGATGGCCTTCGCCCCAATAACTTTAGAACAATTATTAGATTGGATTATTACTAAACAACTTAAATATGCTTATCAAACTCGAAAAACCCATGCTACTGATAGTCAGCTTGATGTAACCATTGACCTGTGTCCATTGGGTCCAGCTATGTCAGTTTATTTAATGTTGCGGGCAATTTGTCGACAATGTGATCGTTGGGAAGCTATTGAACTCAAGCAGTTGATGAAAATGTCTTCAAAAGGAAATTCTGACGTTTCATTGGTTCAGTTGGAGAATCTTCCTGTGAATATGAATTGCACTTCGGTAAGAACCCCTGGTTATTAATTGACCAGAAGATACAAAATTCTTTTACTTCTCCGAAATTCTCAGTTTCATGAATAACGAAGATATCGTTTCTCATCTGAATCCTTTCTAGTGCATTCAACGCTCCTATCATAGGCGACAATTGCACGTATGAAGTAGAGAGTGGTGAATCTTACTTCTTTCTGTATCTTTTCTTTTTTTAGTGAACTGACATGCATCGGACAGGTGCAAGATCATAAGGTGGTTCGCATTTATAGGACAAGTGGTCAAATCTTATCTAGTTATTAGACAAGCATTGTCTATTTCCTTTAATGCGTTATGGCTTCGACAGCGTCCGTCATTCGAATTAATATTAAAACTGCCTTCGAAGTCGGTGGAAAAGGTAGTGTCGAAATTAGGCATTTATTTCTAAATAGGAAAAGTTAGACGATATTCAATGAAGCTGTGACCACAAGCCAATTATAGTAACTGGGATATGTTACACACTATGATTTGGAAATGTGGTTACACTGAGTTTATTTACCTGTCCTTCACTAATTCCCTTCTTATTTACTATAATTTCTTTCCCTTTCCTGTTCATCTTTTGTTTTTGTGATATTGCACAGTATGCTAACTCGAACTGATGGGATTTTGTATGTTTGATAATCTGGTTGTTGTAAAAAGTAGGAGTTTGCTTAATATGGTGTATTATGCCATTGTATGTAATAAAAGTGTATATGATCAACTAACGTGTGACACACCGAAAAAATTATCGGTTCAACTTTTGTTATCAGATTTTTCTCAAAATGCATAAACCAGTATTGTGGAATCACGAACACCTCACGTTGAATAATCAGCTGATACTGTTGTTTTTGGGAGAAGGTGAACCATAGAATGCTTGACTCATGTGGTACTCATAAAACGAAAAAAATAACCATTTGTATAATTATGTAACAGTTGATAATTTATGTTAGATGTTCGAAATCAATTGACTGGAAGCTTTAGATCTAAGTATTATGCGTCTTGAAATTCATAAGCTAATCAGACCAAGACTGACACCCTGTAGAACTGAATTAGGTACACTATTGAGTAGCTGACTAGTCCTCAGCGTGCAGTAAACTCTCATATTTAATTCAGAAAAGATTTCTGCTTTGATGTTGGACAGCACTGAATTAATTCGAACACCATCCATTATAAGAAAAATATCGTAGAACACGTGACCCAGGTTAAGAATGACTTATTAATTGACCTATTACTTTATGAGATGTACCATAGTTTAAACAATAAAAGAGAAGAAAAGAGAAAGGTTAGAATATGATGTTGTTTCCTAAATCAAGGGGGTATGAATTGACATGACTTCAAACCGATTCCCTGTATACATGTATGTATATTTTTCTAAGCTTCTTCATTCATTTTCTACATTTCATCGATATTCAGGTCTCTCACACACTGTTTTGAAACTGTTAGTGAGTGACAGTTTTTTTTATCTTAACGGATGTGTGCGCGCGACTGATACTTCTTGGTTACCCAAACTGTAAATGACATGGCATGAATTTATAATTGATGAACTCAATTTTGGTAGGAATGAGTTCGTTAAGCAGAGAATTATCTACACGAAAAGCGTTTTACAAGATATGTAATTTTTATTCAAGTGTCGAAAACGTCGTAATCTGAATGCACTCAGCAACCCTGTGCACATTCATGCAGTAGCCAATAAGCCGCCACACCTATTGTATGAAGGCTAGCTGCCCAAACGTCGGTACGCGGAGTGGGGTTCGAACCTGTCACCTATTGGTTGAGAGTCATCTCCCTAAACCAATAGGCCACAGTTCACCTTATTTAGGTGTACTCAGAACATATGACAAGTCAACAGATACCAAAGTTTGGTAGGGATGTAATAAAAGAAAAGGAAGCCATCTTTTGCGTGTCCATAGTAATTGAGTAATTTTGTGCCAATAATCTGCTATTTTAATTCGAATACTTTGTTGCCTATCTTCCACACTGAAACTTTGCATCGAGTGTTTTTGTTGTGTGGAGATTGTGTTGCATCTGAACAAAGAGCTAATTTGTATGGTATATTGAATTATTACTAATATGAGGTATCTACCGAGTGACCAGTTGTTGCTACTCAACTACTTCATATTCACCCTCACTCAATCTGTTGGTCTTAAAAAATGTGATAGCACAAACTGTTAAGTTTCTTTGTCCTAAACTTGCTTGTTCGTCATGTGCACATTTGTTATTTCTTAGCCACTTGTCTAAGGATTATGAAACCAAGCGTGATTCATCATATTCTATGATACCAGTAGTATTTATGAAAAACCTATAATTGTTACCCACAATGAATGAGGGACTAAATGTCCTCCTTGTCTCTTTTATATCACTTCTTTATTTGCTCAATAATTAAGCAATTAAGCAAAACAATCTGGTTTCCTAAATCCCTTGCAATGATTGCGAGGTCAAAAACATAAGTCAAAGTAGTCGACTAGGGTCGATTAGAATAACAGACCACAAAAACAGCCAAATCAAGATTAGTAGATCTTAATAAGATAAGGAAATTTGGAGGAAGGCTCGGCTATAGCTCTGCACGCAATTACACAGTAGGGTGGGATAAAGCGACAGCGTTAAAAACTTAGTTGTCTGAAAGGAAAGATTGATAACCGAATCTTTGTTTACCGAATCAATATCAAATACATACAATAGAAATGATTTTACACCTGTCCCAGATATATGGAAAATTCTACTACCTTTGTCATCACAAAGAAGAAAGAATCAGAACTGTATAAGTCCTGCCTCAAAGTTGTGGAGTTACCTGATATGAATATAGACAATAAATTGTGTCCGAAACGTTATCCAGTAAATGATACTGTTTCACTGTGTGACAAATCTAACAAACAGACTAAAATAGAGTTCTAAACCACCTTATACATTTTCGCGGGTTGATCTTTAAACATTGTCTATTCAAACCTAAGCATAAAACTATCTGAACGCGTCGAAATGTGTTGTTGGTTTATGCTGTCTGTACAAATGTAGACAGTATGAACTGTCAATGGCACAATTCATGATTACTGATTCTATTCCATCTTGCAAGAATAATTGTTTTCTTTTTGTTTACTAAAATCAAATATGATATGCGTGAAAGAACATTAATTATTATTATCATTATTAATTATATTTTGAACCTTATTTGTTATTTTTGTCAAAGGTGTATGCAGTCGTAGCTACGGTCTTGATGTTGCTCGGCTTGCAGGATTACCTATGGCAGTAATTGAACAAGCTGAATCTCAAGCGTCCAAAGATGAAGAACTTGAATCAGTATGGCTGAAATTAGATAAAGAATACTCCAATACTTTTTCAAGTAGAGTTGAAAATAACGAAGAAGATATTGTTCATGTAAGTAGTTGTTCTCTAAATTATTATTCCACTCCCCTGTCCTTTACTTTGATCTTCAAAAGTTTTTGAATACTTAAAATTGAACGGTAGTTTCAAATATTTGTTTTTTACCTAGTAACTTATATAACAGCTATGGGATTATTTTTTCTCTGATCACAGTTTCGATTGGAAACAAAATTTTACACCTCCAGATTGAATGACATGTTTCCGTCTAATCATTTTAGAGTTTCTGTCATCTGCTTTATATTCTATAATCTCGAGTTATCGGTTAGCTTTTAGGATTTTGAACAATGTACCCCCAGTATCATTTAAAATAGCACAGTGTTCCAACAATCCAATATTCTTAACATAATCTTGCCTGATTTGGACATCATTCACATTCTTTGGTTACCTTGCATATGAAGTAATAATAAAATTAGCCTTGGTCAGTTATCTCTAATAAGTTTATACTTTCTTTTCCTTCACCATTCACACTTAAGGTTGTACTTTTAGGTGAAACCATGTGTTAATGTGTTCACAGTTGTCAACAGACCCTAACCTCATAAACTAAATACCAACCTGGTAAATAATCATAATAATCCTGCTAACCAGTCACGTAAAACATTGAAGTTACTTGCATTGTATGGTAAATGATGCTTGTTGTTAAGTGATGAGTATTTCAGCAATAGATTATTTCAATAAGTGTATGATTTGAAACAGATGTGTACTCTTGTTGAATATAATGATGCAAAACCAGTAGCTACGAAATTACATTATCCTTTTCATTAAAACTATATGCCTTTTTAGGTGCCATCTTTTATCGACTGAATTGTAATTTTTAAAATATTTTTTGGTTCTTATTTGTTTGTAGTTTACTATTTCTTTGGGTAGTGTTGTAATGACTTCTCGCTATCTCAATTGATCATCATGAGCTCATAAATGAATATAATTGTATTGTTTAAAATGTATGTTTCTCAATTCGTATGTTATTCCCTCTTTTAAACATTTTCACTTTTTAAAATATTCAGGAATCTCCGGCTGTATCAATTGCCAGTGAATTATGTCCTCGTATTGTAGAATTACTGGGGCAAGTTATCAAGGAAACTGAAAGCAAAAGTAATAATAACCTGTCATCTGATATCATCGGTCCAAAAGTCGCTGAAATTACTCGTCAACTTTTACTGGACAAACCAAACAATTTACCAACTGACATTCTTTTAAGTTTAGTGTAGAGGATTAGAAGAAGAGATTTTTCAGCATATTTGAGATTCTAAAACCTATATTGCGCAAAATCATTGTTTGTATTATAAAGTCATTTGCTCGCGAATTTGAAAATTTTGTTTTCTCCTTACATTATTTTTTACTAGATTACCTAAGATTTACCATGTTATATATTATTCTATAAGCAAAAGCCCTAATGAATAAATAAATATTACATATATCTTCATTGAATTCCTTTCAATGTCAACTCCATTTCGTTAGTTTTACCAGGTATCAATATACGTGCATAATCATTATAAAGGCGAAATGGTTTGTTACCTGTTGGAAGGAAAAGGAAACTTGATCTTGACAGGATCGTAATCGTCTTGCAGAAAGCTTTCTTGGTGAAGTTATCTATAAAGAATATTTCAGAACTAGTCATTATGACATAGCATAACAACCATGTTCAAATGATTTGTTCAAACACCTGGTGTTAATTTGCAACATTCAGTACACTGGATCAAGAGTAACGACGTGTGCGTAACTCATCTCCTAAGTTCATGTTCAACACTAAACAATGAGACACATTCATAGTATGAGGGCTAATAATACTCCCTGACTGCCCAGAGCTGGTCATAAGACTCGGAGTTCGAACCCACGAGTGGAGCGCCTAGACCTCTACTAAGTGAGGAATAAGTTTCTATGGCACCTTAAAATGTTGATTTTACTCTATCATGAGAATGGAATGGAAATGTATAATAGACACTTAGTTCTGGGTTAGAATCCCATTCCACCAACTTAGATTTGAGGCACTAACCCACACAATCTCGTCCAAGTAAACTAGTATGTAGCTTATAGGTGAGTTGGATCTATCATCTTAGATTACATTTAAACTGGTAAATGAGATTTAGTATGACAAGTTATTTCAATATTTTAATTAACTTTCGTTCAATCATATGATGCGGGCTGCAAATGTGTCCAGGATGTTGGTAAACGCCTTACTTTTTAACCTTCAGGCAATCGGTAACTTATTTATTACTGTCAGTGTGTGTATTTTTTAATTTTCCCTACCTCTTTTCCAAAAAGAGGAAATCTCTGATTTATTCTTGACTAGTTCAACTTTTAGTACATTAATTATCTTCAAGATCTCATGACTTCAGAAATTGTGTCCATCACTCTTATTCAAAAAAATTGTAATGGAGAGAATTGTAAATCCTATTCAAATGTCTTACATTACAGGTATAGTTACTTTGTACTTCTATGTGAAATTTATTGAGATAAAGTAGGGAAACAAAAGAAATGGTGAACTTGTTTGAAAGGGGTCTATTGTACTATTGCAAAATAATTATGAATAAGGTTATCACTGAACAATTCGGTACGAAATTCTTTCTAACATGGTGTGTTGTGGCCAGTTTTCTATGGATTCTTGTCATCTTCAAGTTGTTTACACTTATAATCCCTTACTACTGGACTGTTCGCGACATAGAAATTTATATGTACACTTTTATAAGGTGCATTTATTTAACGAACAGAAACCACAGAACAGTTTTAAATATTAAGATTCCTATTTTGAAACCAATGTAATTTTCTGTGAACCGAAACTGCTGTTTTTCTTTATACAAATGATATGGAATGGAATTTAAATTTACTACTGGTTCTTTGTGATTCTTATGAATATATTAGAATACTGATTTCACTGATATTCGTATTCTGATAGTTTGTGTTCTCACAATATTAAGTTGAATTCTTTACTAAAAAAGAGGACTGTACATTCATTGTGAAGCTTATTACGACAAATAATGACATCTGGCATAATCTCGTAAAGAATCAGGTCTCCACATTACACGTCCTTGTGAAAGAAAGCCGAGGAATGACAATAACTTCACCAAAAGTGAAAAATAAAAAGGCACTATCCTCAGGGTTCAAGGAAAGGTAAGGTGACCATTTTAAAACTATTATAGAGTTTTCTTCAGTACGTTCCTGTCTCTCAACTGCCTCTACGTGGGACGCCCATGAGGTTTAAACCAATATTCATATTTAGGGCAAAAACATTCGGATATGTTTACTAAACAGTAGGTTAAATAAGTTTTGCGAAGGCAATTGGTTCTTTTGAATGTACACTTACGCCAACGACTAACTCAAGTAGTGATGCACAACTGTGCGACCAAATTAAATGGTCACTGTCAAACAAGACATGACAGTATTTATCACTTGTGAGGCAATAAACGTATTGTAATTATCCTAAGATTGTCTCAGAAAATTATATGCCAGCATTTGGACCTAATAATATAATCCTTTATTTGTTAAGGACATATATGTGATGATCATTCGCAGAATGTTAAGGTTGCTTAATTTTGGTTATATTTCGAACAGAGACTCTGATTGACAAAATCAACGTAAAACCTCGCACACAAGTCCATCGGTTCAAGTTGACATACAGTAGTACACAAAAAAAGGTGGGTAGAAAAAGAGTGAAATCCATATAGACAAAGTTGTGTGAGAATAAACAATTTCAAGACAACGGTTAGTGCAAATATTCAAGCTGTAGAAGATTTCAAGCACTGAATACATTCATGCCATTATCACTGATTTCCAGCCGTATCACAAACACTCAGTCCTCAACCACTGCTGATTACTTCCGTTTCGAGACCCTAGCTAGTCAGTTGACATCTCCCCATACGTGATTCATATCAACAATAAAAGACTTCATCGACTGTTGTCACGTCTTCGTCTGGCCACCCTGATAACTCAGCTACAGATAAACAATCCAGGAAAATTTATTTGGAAGGAAGTCAATGACGACATACTTTAAAATCAGACAGTAGATAAACTAAACAACCTGGTAGATATAAGTGGAATACAATGAAATGAGTGACATTTTTCAGAGATTTAACGTCAATCGCTGAATTTGCTGGGAAAAACATGATAGCTGTGTTAAATGATGAAAAATCAAATGTAAAGGTCGAACCTAAGTTATTTATTACACAGATATATATATATATATATATATATATATATATATATATATATATATATATATATGCTTCTCCAGTGACTGTACTAGCTATTATTTGTGTGGTTTTATTCATCGTTAAATATTCTTCCCAAGTTATTCTTACGTCTGTTTTCCACTAACTGAATCTATAGTCTGATTTTTACGTTGCTTACTTATATTATTACTATTGTCATCATCATCGGTGTGGGATTTGGACGAATATTTTTGCTCGATTAAAAAATGCATTTCAATACTATCACATTCACTTTCAGCCTCGATCCCAAAAGTTAACATTGATGTATGCATCACTTTTGAACTCTGTGGTAAGATAAGACGTCTCTGCAGTACTTTTAAGCATAAACACTTAAATTGATTGGTTATATTACTTGATTGAGTAGTAATTGCATGGCAAGCTAATCTGCTCTATACAGTTGCGTAAAATTCAATTTATTGGAGTTTGGATACTCAGCGAACCCAAGTGAAAAATCGTTAGTAAGAGTTGAAACAGGAAGTAAGTTCGAGTAGTTTGGTGAAAAAGCGTAGTTAATCGATAGGATGCCGCTAAACGGATATCGACAATACATGTCGTCGGCCACTGATGGAAAGTGTGTAGGCTTCGTAATTTGATTTATGCCGCTGCATGGTCTCAACAATCTTTTTGGACGGTTTAATATTCTGTCAAAATAGTCAGAAAAAAACCAGTTATTCATTTCTCCAGCTTATTTCTTCAGGAGTATAAAAAAAGTTTGTATGTGATGTATTTCTACCTAAAGAAAATCACAGGCAAAACTTCGCAACTCGATACTTCCTCAGCCCGATGAAACATAAAGCACTTGTTTGTAAAACATTTCACTGTCTTAGTGTATTCATTATCGCTGGTTATATCTGAACCCATTTGGTAGTTTCACTAGTCAATTTTGGATAGAAAATGATAGTGTTGAGAAAATGACATAAGAAGCGAAGTAAGATAGTTAAAATGGCTTTCAAGCTTGCTGTCTGTCACCAATTGTAACCGAATTCTGTAACTCTATATTAGTTGACATGTAGCGAATAAAAATTGCATCATTCACCAACTGTTTTGTGCTCACAGTTATTAATTTATTACTTTGACTGATGTAACTGCTTTCATTTTCAGACAGGTAAACACCCCAAGTGATGGACAATTCAAAACTTTATGAACTTTCAGGATGACAATCTAAACAATTATCAATTAGGCGTGATTAAGCAATCACAGTAGTGAGGCTTTATATCATGTATGTGCTTATTCTGTTTTATACGACAAGAAACTCTGCAGAAGCAGTTTCAATTTTAGATAATCATGCTTTTCTGTCTTCTAGGCCTGAAGTAATCTTCGAATTCAGATGTTTCTGAATTCGTCCAAGCATATATTTTAATACCATTAATTCCTTTATCTGTTTATGAGTTCATTCAAACAAGGAAAGTAGTAGCTTCGTGTGTGTTCAAACAACGGTTCATTTGGTGATAATAAATCTTGTTTTCGTGAATGTGATAAAATCAGCCATATAATATGTTCTACCGATAAATAATATCAGCCTTGTTTCAAACTGGCACTGCATGATCCAAGCATATATGATAATGTGACTTAAATCCTCTCCTATTATGTAGAAAACAGAGAGAATCTCATTCAAAATGGAGGTTTGTTTATAAGCTTCACACGATATTTATTTTGTCACTGTTTTAATGACCAGTTTCTATTCCGTCGGTCACATTATTTGCTTTGCCGATGCAATGGACTACAATGAAGAAAGAATGAATTGGTTTCATTAATACGAGTATAGAATTCGGATACGATGATGAAGTATAATTCCATTATATTTGCTTGTTTATGTGTATCATAGTGAAACAGTATTGTAAGTTGGTGACGTTTCTAAAAATACTTTTTGCTCATGGTTATATCAGGATAATCACAACCTTCTGGTCTGTTGTTGATAGCTATACTTTTTTAAATTTTTTGATTTAATTCGTATCAAAATTGCCTACATTTTCAAGTTTGTCACTGTCATTTCTATGACATGTGTCAGATGTCGACTTGGTAAATAGAGCTTTAGTTATTAGTATCTCTTTCCATCTACTGGAGTTAAGTTTTAAAATTGTCACTCTACCTCATCCTGTTACTTCGCTACACGGCTACTGCTGAGCTGTTTTCTAAATTTCTCATCTTATTAGGGTTTACCGTTCAATATTTTTCCTAGTTTTCTATGTTCCGCTACTCTTATTGACCCCGTTAGGCAAGTTCTGTCCGCGTATTTGACCTCATAGCCATTATATCGAATTTGGTGAATCAAATTATTTTCTTATTCGGTTCGATAGAGTCCTTTGGCCTCCGAAGTTTGTCTTTAATGCATTTTCTGGGCCTCAGAGCTACTTTGCCCGGTTTTATCAAGAATTCTACGTAGGACTTCCTATTTCCCTTCTATGAACCTTCAAAATCCTTCCCATAGCTTCATTATTAATACAGTTTGCGTCTGTAATCATGTTATTTATGGTATTTTTCTTGATACCTCTAATGTGTTATTGAATAAGCCCATAGGGGTAGTTATTTAGTAATGATACATCCTTTAGATGTTGTATCTCTTGACAAAGATATTTTACCTTACTAGTTAGGCCTCATTACTTAAGGGTTTAATTAGGCCGACCTAAACTGATATTACATGAGAGTGCCTAAAGCCTAAGTATCGATCATGCTCTGAAACCTTATATGGTATCTAAACCTCTACCTTACCTTTGTTTAATTTTGCAACACAACATATCTAGTTGTCCTTCGTCACTTACTACTTTATGTGTGAATTTGATTGGATCAGCTACTGAGTTTATGTGTAAGAAATAGGTCTATATGTTTTGATTTCAACACTATAAATGTGCCAGCTACATATCTCCAACGTACTTTTATTTAACCAGTGCCCAATGGGCTTTGTTGTGACATATCACTAAATGAAGCTTTGGAAAGATTTTAAAGGTCACCCTAGGAATGACTGAAGTAGTCAATTAAATTTCTTTATTTAGACTTGAATGGTAAATTCTTGTAAAGGCAAGAAGTATATTTGGTCATTTCAGTTGTTATTATTGTTGTTGTTAGAGTGACCTTTAAATTCACTCCAGCTTTGACTAAAACTGATTTCAGAACTTCTCGTAACCATTAACTGACAGCTAAAAAGCAGCATATATTGAGCGCTTCTTATTGATTCTCTCTACTTTTTTAGCAGACACACAACCAACGAACCTCGCATCCGTTCAAGTTGCCACACTTCACAGCACCACGCTAGGAACTAGTGCATAGAAAAGGTGAGATCAGAGTAGAAAAAGGTGTATGGAAATAGAAAAATTTGAAGACATTCAGGCTTTAGAAAACGTCGAAGAGTGAATACATCTGCACCACTGTGCCCAGTTTCCAACGATTTCATCTAGAGTCCTCAACCACTGATTTCAGTGACCTCGAGGACCACAATGAGGCAGTAGACGCCCTCTAAAAGGGTTAGACTAACTGTAAGAGACTTCAGGAACTGATGCCAGGTTTTGATCTGGCCACCAAGAACCTTCTCACAACTCTATTGTAATTCAGCTAACAATACACGTTGAAGTCGGCAGAAGCCATCCATGTATTGCTCAACTAGTCCCATACCTTATTTCTCCTTTGTTCTTAGCCCCTATTAAATACATTTTTCACAATTCTACAAACATACAGTTGAATACTACGGTTTTTCAGATGTAAAATTACTTCCCAGCCTCTTTTGCAAAGTATAAGCTAGAGAGTATGTAAGTATTATTTATCGACTGGCGTAAGGTCCAGTTATATGTGTAAAAGAGATCACAGGTCTTAGGTAAACGAAAAGTTCAACTTTACTGGCAAATACAGTGCCCAGGTGTACAAGTATGTGATCAATAAATCTCTCATCCATTGTTTCTGTGATGATTTGGAACTATGTGTTCTTCTCAAGTTATAAAGAAGAATATATTATACCAAACTCTCTGGGTTCGGATCTACCGTATAAGATATAGAAATATAGAAGCTGGGTAAAGAACACTGATCAATACAATGAAATGTTTGGATGTTCGAGATTGTTTGAAAACATGTAACTGAATCACTTTTATGTATTTCAAAAACCTTATGATTTCAAATCATGAACTTCTCTCTATAATAGGATCTTTGTGGCATAGGACGTAAACTAGGACTTCCTGACCTAATGAGGAACTGATCTTTAAGGTGGATATCAGTTTCATATACAGTACACTGTGTAGCATCATTATCGTTTAATCTAGTCCAGAGAATCATCCACTTTGTCGAATATCCTTAGCGTCAAGCTGTCACCTTTGATTCAGAGATTTAACCAGATGCCAAGAATTCCTTCAGATAGTCTATAGATTGATATTTGTATCTGTTCAAGAGTACCAAGTGAGCGACAGTCACTTATTTGTGTAAGAGGCAACATGTTAATAGCTGTTATGAAAATTAAGTGAAGGGCTAAATAGAGTCTCTTGAAATCGACCTAGAAGACACCTAAACGATTTCTTAACTTACTATACCTAATAGAAATCGTCGAATAAGAACAAAGCGTAGGATATTACAGATGATGCAGTGCTCAGAAGATAATGTAATGACAGAAAAAGGCGTTGTCAATAACAAGCTTCTGATTGTTGAAACTCAAGGCTATCCTCCTTTTAATGTGCTAACAAAGGTGAACCGTTTCACACACAGTTCTTGTCAGCGTGACAACCATTATTCTGCAGCCAGTCAGATACTCATTTATTTTGGTTTACTAACTGGCAGAGAGATATGAACTCTCTCACTTAGTCAAGCGAACATCTGACTACTTTTTAAGTACAATCTTTAAGATTAACTGGGTAATTTACATTTATTCTACAGACTGCGATTTTATTTTGATAAACAAAAACAAAAATTAGGTGAAAATGTTGGGTTATTTCGTTGTTTTCCCAGCCTGAAATCGAATCTAGTCTTCCTACACACAGAAATGCACCAATTAAAATTTCACTATCCTTCACAACTATATTATTTCAGTGCTATATACTTGCAGTCCAAAATCACAAAGTAGGTAAAGGAATTGAAATGATTTAGAAGAATCCACAAATCAGAGGAAACTTTCATATGTACAAATAAAATGGTTTTGCACGTGTGTGCATGTTTGTCAGCTTCCTGGGTTATATGTGCCAAAGTGAAAGCCTACACACAAAATAGTGTCCAGATGACCTGATACACATGATTTAGCCCGATAAAAAGAATTTTGTTGAAAGAAATGCATATTTAAAAAATAGTTCCACGTAAAGTGTGTCACACACTTTTGTACTTAGAATTTATTTGATTGGTTTAGTAACAAATCGAACTGCGATACGATTATAGTAAATACCAAAAAGTAATATAATAATTATAATAGTACGTGCTAGACTGACGATCACTTCTTTTCACTGTTTGGCAAGGAAGTTTATCTGTTTCTATTTTTGTCACCGGATTCACCGGGATTATGGCCAATCAACCTTTAGCCAGTGGACTCAGTGCTCAAGTCAAAAAGAAGGTAATAGCTTATTGTTTCTCAAATATTTTATCATTATTTTCTTGCATAAAAGGCTGATATGGTTAATTTTCAAAACTGCTTAAGATTTTTCATAAATTTCAGAATACCACTAGAAGTTGATTTCTACCATATCATAACTTCCATATGTAAGAGATATGACACATCTGTAATAGACTGTGGAAACTGTTGTGAATATTTTTAAGTGTAACGAAAACTACATCCCTAGAGAAGTTAAACATTATTGAAGTCACTGTAATCGTGACTAATGCTTTTTTGAAAAGTCTCACAGATAAATTAGTAAATTACTTAAGCCTATTGCTGATTTGTTGCTGAATGGGATGACTTGTATTTCTAACACTGCCTTCCAATGACCTAAAACGATATCAGCTTCCTACAACAATAACCTCTGAATAAACTTATACGGTGGAATTTTTCTAAGATGTTACATGAAAATGCATATGTCATAGTGATAATATGTGTAGAGGTTTTTGCTAGCGTATAATTCTTCAAGGTTTAATTTTTATGAATTTTGACAAATTAACTGTTGTGCTAAAATGCAAATACCCAGATAGACTTGGCATAAATAAATAAACTCTCATTGAATATTGAGAATACACCGAGAACAGCACAAACTTATATTTCTGCACAAATTGGATGTTAGTTAGTAATCAGTGTGTTGTATGGAAATACATCTGATTTAAATCTCAACGTAGTATTCATTACAGAATCCTATCAATTAGAGAACCACTGAAAAACAAAGAGCACTGAATAGTTGTTTCTTTCTAGGATGAAACTTCTTAGCGGTGAGCACCGCACCAACAACATAACCGGTAATCGAACTCACAACTATCAGATCTCGTGGCAAACAGGCTACCTAATATTCAGCTAATGGATCGGAATCCTATGGTTCATATTTCCCTACTTCTGTTGGTTCACGGTACAGTACCATCATCATCTAATTCCATCGGCTCTTTTTTCTACTCATACACGAATTGGTTGACCCTACAGATTACGGCTTCGCTTTATAACTTCGGGAAATCCATATCGAATGATATCATTTATAAACAGTAGACAGTAATTCAGTTTCTAATTGCTGTATATTCACGTTGAGATATAAACGATAGTACTTACATGATTTGGATGGCAAAATAAGTTACTAATGCGGGTTCCAGTCTCTGAATGACAACAAGTATTTTAGAAAGTGCAATTACACTTTGAAGACGGCTTTTCTAGCTACTTCCAAACATCCGTCAATATGTTATGTAAGACTGGAAATTGGGTTGTTGGAGTGTGCAGAAGGCATCATTTTAATTAGTTAGGGTTCTGTGCAGCGTTTACTTCTTATCACATTGTATTACCATATATTTAGATTTCACAATCTAGCCTGACTCAAGTATTATGCTATGTTCTCACTATATTTAACAGCTTTTGTAACTGAAACTGCTGCAAACAATTTTCAGCTCACTTCTTACTTGAATAATATCCTTCTCATGTAATCTGAGTCAAACATGTAAATCAGATAAGAGATTTTGGAAACTAACTCCAACGAACGACCTTTGGGATATTTAAACAAATCCCGACGACCTTGACTGGAAAACCCATCAAACGATACAAGAAAAGTTGAGATGTTCTTCAACAGTATTTGATTAGTCTCTTTAGCGTGACAGATGACTCCTCAGGGAATTTCATTTGTAATGTTGCTTATCACTTAAACTTCAGCTTAATGAAGACCAATACTACCATTTCAATTAAACGGCGAAAATTTTCTATCTTCCTACATCAAAGCTCTTTTTACTTTGTTTCGCTTCGAACAAGCGACAAACACACTTTATTACCCAACAACAAAATCAACTGGATCCTGGCTAATAAATATAAAGCTTAGAATTTTCTTGCATTCACTAATGTTTTGAAGTGAGTAAGAAGGTTTTCATAACTATAGTTACGTTTATCTTTATCAAAACCTCCACTAAATTCTATACTGATCACACTTGCTGGCAAGTTTATTTATAACGTCGTATAAGTTCTCAATTTTTTTGCAACCTATGATTGATTTGTTGAAATTAATAAGCGAAACTGTCGAAGTTATGAACCAAACCGACTTGACTTAAATTAATTATTCTAACAGTGTGAGCTGTAATGAATCAGTCAATCAATCTATCATGCATGATAAGTCCTTGTTAAAATATTCACTAGTGTATCAATATCCATCTCCCCTAACATTCCGCTTAATATCTGCGCCTTTTTCTTATCTTCTCCGCTTGAATCGTTACTCTTCATTTTTCACTTAATTAATATTTAACTTGTCTAGTATGACCTCAACTTCGCCAAATTTCTACAAGATACTTTTTGAAAATTGCGTGTTATAAAAGTGGTGTGAAATAGTTTAAGGAAGTTGCATACATAAATTTATTCGACGAGTATTAGTTATAACGGTTATTATGATTTCAAAAGTTCATGTTCTCAAAGTATGACCGTTGTTAAAATGTGTTCTGGAACAGTAAGTGCTCCTAAACTAGCATACTTTGAAGCGAAACTAAATAGACTCTTGAACTACCATCTTGTAGACGTTATTTACGCATAACACAGTTTCCACCTAGCTCAAACTAATAACTAGTGACTTCATGGTTCGATTTCATGTTTGGACTGGACAGTCCTGACTTTTCAGTAGGCATTATCTTTTGTCAGTGTAGGCAGCAGTTTAACATCTGCGGCATATGAATCATATGCGACCCGAATAATGATTTGTCTTATTTCCCTAACTGTATATGCTTAACCTGAACATTGTTCACATACTGGTGCAACCGCATTCTAGTCATGCTTCAAAAACACCTATGGACAAATCCCTATGCCCTCTGATGCTGTGTTACACCTCGCCGCTCTTATTTGTTCTTGCTCATTATTGGACATGCGTACATCTCATCTGGGGCCCAAGTGATGTCGATTAATAAATACCAATATAGTAATAATATCAAATGCAGGTGCTAAACTACAGGTGAGTAGAAATGAACCCAGCAACTTATTAACTCCACTTCCAAAGCTTTTGTTGAGGAGGTCAAAGACATTTCCATGGATAAAAATCTCAGGAAGTCGCCTATCTGTATACCTTAATTACTGTTATTCGACACAAAGTCTCTAGAAAGCATTTTTCAAACCTTTTCTTCAGTAGATGTTATTGGGTTTACCTGTAACACCGAAACCATCCAAATAAGAGATTGTAACACAGTCGTAGTTATTCGTCGTCAGCTACAATCCCAATCTTACCATCAAAATACTTTATCGTCTACACAGTTGTTCAGTTAGTTATTTGGCTGTTTCATATTTGATAAAATGAGTGAACAAGCATTCGAATCAATCTACTAATGGCTAATGAAGCGCCAGAAATGCTGTCGAAAAACAAGGCGTCTCTGTCTGATTTTTTCCGCCTGATTTTTATTTTTGTATTCTATGGTTACTGATGTATGGTATATAATAGGGCACTACTCCATACTGATCATTTATTAGATATTCCACGGTATAAGATTACATTATTTACTGAATAATGCTATGAAACCAGCTTACTCTTCATGGTCAAAGAAGACAGACACAGACAATGAAACACTTTCTAGTGAATACAGAAGCAGCAAACGAATCAAGGATAATAAGACAACTTTTTAAAAGTCATTCAAGCTTATTAATCCCAGAAAGATGAGACACTTTTTGCTTTTAATTGAGTGAATGGTATATATCTATACAACTTACATAATTTTGTTTGTCACCGACTAAGTAGGACAAAAAGGAATCGATCAAATAACAGGTGAACTGATAGAAGTTGTAGTATTTAGCGCAAGGACTACGGTAATGCAAACAGTCATGATAACTAACCCACACACAGCAGCGGATTCCAGAACTCACCTTTCATTCTCTTTGGAACTTGTCAAACGAATGTATCTGCATCTCAGTGAGTGGTGTTCCAACTGGGATTCAGACCCAGCATCCTTCGCTTCAAACACTAGATAATTTTGGTAATTGAGAACAGTAGTATATCTGATAAAACATTTTTAAACCTCCGCAGATGGAGAATAATTCAAATGACGTTAAATGAACCTAAGAAATTCTGTAATGGGAGAAAAAATGAACTACTTTATAAACTCACTTTCACCTACCTAACTGCTTTATTTGCAGCAAGTGCATACCACTACACATATGTGCTATCAACTGGTGTTGCACTTTTAAGTGTGAGCAACAAACAAGCAAGGGCTTTGTTGTTTCATTCACTCAAATAGTTTATTTCAGCAGCAAACACATCCTTATATTGATAGGTTTCTGATAAACTTTTCACAGTTCCTAAACGGATTGTCGTGCCACACAGTGCTGTAGATGTTCTGCATGCACACATATTTTTGAATCGAATAAAAACAATGTGACTGGAAACAGCTAAACTTCTTTGAAAAGTAGTAGAAAGAAGTCTTCAAAATACCATTAACTTTGCTTTTCTACATTATATAACATTCACTAAACTATTTACCATTTTAGCTTGAAGGCAAACGAGATCGAGATCAAGAACAAAGTGTACTTGACTGGATAGATGCTGTACTTGGAATCAAAGTTGATCGTTCTAAGCCATACGAAGAGGTATTGAGAGATGGAGTTATACTTTGCAAGTGAGTGGTTTTTTGGAACAGTATTACTTTTGGAGTAGAATTTCAAAACTGTAATAGTACTCATCCCATATTGGTTTGTTTTCCAGATGTAACATACATTGAAATGGTATTATTTACTAGATGCAATAAATCATTCAGTAAATACCAAAATAGGGGTAGAAATCACCATGTAATGGTAATAGCATACACAACCGCATAAACGCATCAAGGTGTAAGATAACAGGACGAAAGATAGAGATGTGAAAAGGATGTAATGAAAACTCTCAGGACGCTATAATACAGTCAGAAGATGGAGTAAAACTTCGGCATTTTAGTAGATTGTAACTCTATTTTAGTCTGTTTACTAGAAGTGTCACGCAGTGAAACAGTATCATTCACTGAGTAACATAATTTATCGTTCAGATTCATATCAAGTAACTCTACATTTTGAGACATAGTTTACAAAGCAAGTTAGTTAAATTACAGTTAAGACAAGGATAAAGCATGGATACATCCGTACCACTGTGATCGGTTTCGGTTGTCTCGCTTACCTCCAACAAGAAGGATACGCTCTCTTATATGGCTTAAGTCAACCTTTAGAGACCTCAAGGACTTCTGTCACGTTTTGGAGTGGCTACTCTAAGCACTTGTGTAACTTAGCCCCGTTCCAGCTAAAATAGTGTACGGAAGCGAATTATGAGGCAAAACTAACTTATGACAAGCTGATTATTTGATGCCTTATTTCTTTATCACAATGACGGGTTATACAAAAAGCATTCAAAAAAGTGTTACCATTCTATTCAAATTTGAATAATAACAGTAAAATAACTTACGCTTTAAATAATTAAAATTAGATCAACACATTAAAACTGACTCTTTTAGCCTATTAGTTACAGTCAGTGAGTTAGTGAACCTTAAATGTCATGCGGTAGGAAGCTTCATCTATTCGATCATGAATTATCTTATAAATTCGTCAAAAGTTAACTGAATGCTTTATTCATCTACATACCCCGATATCCACAAGAACAAATTTACTATCGAGAATTAAATGACACCACTAATTTTCGAATGTCTTGGATTGGGAAATTCTTATGAATTATCATGATTATCATTATTTTTCCCTTGGATTCCTAGTGGAACATACGGCTTCAGTAGCTAGCCTCCATTTCACCCTCTTCTCTGCAGTCTTTTCAACCTGGCGCCACGACTGCCCAAAGCCTTTCATTTCTTCCTCACATGATCTCCTCCATGTCACTCTCAGCTGGGATGCCTAACTCGTTGTTTCCCCTTTGGATTCCACTCGCGCGCCTGGCGCGTGATGTTTCCAGTCGGCCTTCTCAGTGGATGTCCAATCGAATCCATCTGCACTTTCTTCAGCAATTTTGTTGGGTAATAGGTTTTTGGTTGGTCAGTCCATAGAGTTCCTAGTTGCTTATTCTTTCTGGCCATCTGAGCTTCAGTATCGAGCCAGCGTAGGCAGCTGTTGATGAATGCCTGTAGTTTGTTGGAAGTGCTTTTCGTGACACGCCAAGTTTCTGAAGCATATAGAAGCACTGACTTGACATTGGTGTTGAAAATTCGGATCTTGTTCTCTGTGCTGAGTGGAGTGCAGTAGATCTCCACACTGATTTCAGATTAGTTAAAGCCTGTCTCGCTTTTCCGATCCTGTCTTATGAATTAACGAACTCATATTTGCGATGTGCGAGGAAATATAAAAGTTAAAGCATACTTCCAAGTAAACGTTTTCCAGCTCTTGATCTGAAACTCCATTTTTATCCAACCAGGTCCAATTTCCACTCCAAATTTCGATTTCGTATCAAGACAGTAACTCAAAGATGAACTGTTTTAAGTCCTATCGAAGCTAAGGCTTTTGAATTACAAATTACAATCATTATATGTGATTATCCAGATTGACTTACCAGTCAGGGTTATTTAAAATAGTTTTATTTGCAATCTTTGATAAAATCAGGAATTCACAACCAAAGTTTGATTTCGTTTGACCTTTTTCGTTGACACTGCAATCTGAAAACATTGGTGTATGATGAACAATATCAGTCTTCTTGTCTTTTAGAATTCCACTGTTCTACATATTACTTTCAAACTCCTTTGCCTTGTTAGGGTTATTAACAAATTGAAACCAGGAAGTGTTAAAAAAATCAACGAAAATTCTACAATGCCATTTAAAATTATGGAAAATATCAATGCCTTTCAAGAAGCAATTAAAGCTTATGGAGTGCCTACGTCTGATGTTTTTCAAACTGTAGATTTATTTGAAAAGAAGGATATTGCACAAGTTACACAATGTATCTATGCTCTTGGAAGAACTGTAAGCTAAACTTGCATTTATTCAATAATAATTATTCCATGACTGATAAATAAATGTCTTCGACAGTAGTAATCCACCACCAATTTGGTTTACCTGGACTCTGAGTAAGGCTCGCTTTTCATATTTTACAACACATTTCGGCAAACAGTATTTTTTGTTGATAGTTCCCTCCTCAGTTTCTACAGTAATGTACCCGTATAGCTTGGTCAAAGAATATATATATAGACAAAAATTGGATGTATTTAGGACTCAGTCGTTAATATCAAATAATCCAGAATTCCTCTACAAGGAAAAACTTATTTTAATAATAATTTCAGGCTCAAAATTACTGGATTTCTATTCAAAATGATGATTATGACTTATGTAACATCAGATAGTGAAATTTACTTATCTTAAAGTCATCAATCAAAGCTGATTATTATTATGAACAACAGTGAATTTTATAAAGCTGAACGATTGTATCCTAAGCTTGAAATGAATTTTATGCATATGAATAAACCTTAGCACAAGTAGAGAGGAATTAAAATGTAATTGTGGAAGTGGAAGTGGAGTTGTGAGTGTTGGTGGGTATGTTAATTCAGCTGTCTCCTTAAAATAGTGCAGCGGTGTGAACACAAGGAGATATATTTACTTCTCTTCTTTAGAACGCATCAATATATTCGGAAAAGTAGAGTAAATGTGTAGAACGGAACACCGACAAGAAAGCTTAGTCAGTAAGTATACTATTAATTTCGATCCGCGAGCTATGGTCACTGCTGAGGATAAGAAAGATGTTTAGATTATCACCCAGTTTCATGAGTATATTACACCTAGCACGCTGGTAGGTTCTTTTTTCGCATAAAGAAAGAATATAGGTTAGATGGGTTTTGGTTATCCCAAGGTTAAACCAACAAGCAAAATACTCATCTTCAGATCATGCTCCTCAGTGTTCTGAACAAGAAAACGGCGTAGAAATCATTTTCACTCTACTGTTAATTGAAGTTACCTGCAGTTATTCTTATTTTACACGATGCTATGATGAATTTGAACCACCCTCACTCTCTTAGTTGTAATTTCAATGTTCTTCATCAGTATGACCATTTGAAAATACCTCTTATTAAATGTTTATCATTTTCATAATCAACAAACCAGCTTTTAACTTATCCATTGCAAAAAACTAGTATGTGGGCTCGGTGGTAATCAACAATAGGTCTCCGTACTCCTCAGGAGATACTGAGTTTTCTCAGGACTGATTCATACAGTTTTTCCGTGTATCTTACCATTACATTCCACATTCTGACATGTATCGCTTCCACCATTGCGATTTCATGAACCGATTGGTTATTGTATAAGTATTCCATAATGTTACCTTCAAAACTAAGATGAATTCATAAAAAGTTATGCTTTTACTCTTCACCGTTGCACAAGTATTGTGGTTAGAACTTGCACAAAACTTAATAAATCAGCAGTGGTCAAATCATTATACGAGTAAGTTTTAGTATAATCCTAGCGTGCTTAGAAAACCAAAACAAGATTTTTCTAAATATTTCACTGTGTATGCCACAGCTTCTTCAGCTGAGCTGCTTCTAGAACGAAAGCGGTCAATCCGTTGTAAATTTGCTTATCTCATTTGGCAGGGTTCGAAAAAAATTAATCATTTGTAACACAGTGATCCAGACACTGAAATGAACTTTTAAATATAAATTCTATTCATGAATTCTAATCTTCTTTGCATCCTGGTGGTGAATAGTGTTCGCACTAAGACTGGAACTCGACATCCACCAGAACCTTCGTTTACCTCCTAAGTCAGTTGAGCATGATGTATATTATTACCGTTTACTTAACTTCTTGATTTATAGAATCAGTCTGCGTAAACCATAGGCATTTGCTTGATGTCTGTCAAATATTAACTTATCCTGCCCCTTCTTACTTGAGTGATGGGCTCGAGTCTCATTCGAAACACTTACAGCGATTCACATACATACCAGTTGATGTGTACTAAACAGAATTGGACGTGCATCCTGGACCCCACCATTATCCACTACCATAAAATACATCATAATTAATCTTCAGATAATATCAAGACATCCATGTAAGAATCCATGTACTAACAGAGACTAATCAACTCCGTCCAGAATAATTACCAACTGGAAAATACAAGTGTCAGTAAATAATAATATTTTCAGCTTATTAACTCGAGAAAAATGGTTGATAATTCTAAAAAGGAGTTAAAACTTAACAATCCCTGCCTTTCGCAAAACAACTGCGCTAACCGATAGGTCCTGTAAAAGATTAGGACAGCATTCGTTATCGCAATGCTAGTCACAATGCGGATACATTCTAAAGACAAACAGTAAACTTCATAATATGAGGCTACTGTATTCTATCTAGGGTTGATGAAGTAAATTAGTAGCTTTAAAAGTAAGTTAGGCGCTTCTAGTATGAAGATTAAAATGCATAATATTCTAGAAAATAAAGTGAAAGAGATCACGTCACCTCTTGAAGAGATAGTCACCCTGCTTTCCTGTTATGAAAGGCTTCAAGAAATCCTTCCTAGCAAGAAAAAAGCAGAAATACTGTTGAATAAAGTATTGAATGACATTTAGAAAACTTAGCAGGCTTTGAAGAAGACGATAACTTGTCAACATTTTCTATCCTCCAAAATTTTTTGTTATCGGTCTACTGGATTTTGTGAAGCAAACCGATTGCATAAAAATGTTGAAGTGACAACTCTCTACTCAAAACACTTAGTCTAAACCCTATTTTATTATGAACTTTACAACTTATTTAGTGCCAAACACATCCAGAGTACAATGGTCCTAGCTTAGGTCCAAAGTTGGCACAGGAAAATAAACGTGAATTCTCTGAAGATCAATTACGCGAAGGAGCGAATGTGATCAGTTTACAGTATGGTACGAATAAGGGGGCTTCACAAGCTGGAATGACAATGGGAAAACAAAGAATGATTCTTGATTAACTTTTTTTCAGTTGCTAAAATATTTTCAAACATTTCTCATTTGTGGTAAAATTAACTTTTAAATGCTAATAATAAACGTAACATCATTATGACATTTTGCATAGAAGCGTAACCACTCTGATGTCTGTCTACCAATTAATTACCCGATATGCTTTCATAAATTTCTTTCAGTTAAATATGCTTATTCTTTCAAATGCATTTTTTGGTTCATTGTATTGCTACTTCTTCAGATGACGAGCTTTATACTTATAGGTATACGTTTACAGCCTCTAATTAACCGTTCAGATAAATGATATTTTCTTTAGCTTGACTACCCTATTAGCGTGCTGCCTGTTTTACCGCTTAGTGATAAGACCAATGACGAAACCCTTCGAACTTTACGTCTCTGCGAATGTTTTATTCGGTCAGGGAAGTTCGAATATCTGCTTAAGCATTTACTGCCTCTAATTTCATCATGTGAAATAAGTAGTTGATATCATCAGTGAAAAGAATTGTATGGGAAAGTAATTATAGAAAATGATAATGAACAGATCTTCAGTCATTTTTTATAGTTGTAGATGTCACTAAAAGATAGTCAGGTAACGCGTAAAGACACTAATGATGGATAGTAATCAACAGTGGAATCCAGGAGGCCAGTTTCATCCTACTTTAGACTCATCATTTGGACTTACCTGCTTCCCGGTGAGCGATGTTGTTCCCACTACGACTCTAACCCGGGACTGATTACTTCAAACACCAGAGCGCTATCCACGAGGCTACCAAGTTACTATAATCACTTTTTGTGCGACTAGTACAGTTTTTACATTGTTGCTTGTATTACCTTGTCTTTGATTGGACCGGTCTCTGTCAGTTTCCGCGCAGAAGCCTATATGCCGACAGAGACTGATCAATTCGGTCCAGTCAGTGACGGAACGATATAAGCAATAACATAGTAACCCATAAAGACGTACATGTATTACCATTAGGCAGATGTCGACTTCTGAAATATTCCTCTCGGACGTAGTGATGGTGAGTTTACCATTTATTAGCACTTACTGGCAATAAATATTCGTAATCCTTCTGAAAATTATAAACGCTAATAGAATTTAGTTCACTCAGTGAATTAAAAACACTTTCAATGATATATTAAACATTAGAAGAAGAAAACTGAATTCTCGGCAGAAGGGTGGGTAACATTTAGTAAACATCTATGTAGACGGCTTCCGTATACTGAATAACTAGGTAAGCGGTAACAATGACTGATATTTTCAGTAGACGCTTCTGTATGGTTATAGCCTATGGATAGTTGTCTTATTCTGATTAAACCCAAATATTTAATGCATTATATTTGAGTGAAGATGTCGTAATTTGTCGAAAATATATGGCCTGTTTCTCATGAATTTCTGCTTAGATAACAACAGATGCACGGAGGTTGTTGGTAAATTTTTAGCCTTTCACAAGGCCACAGATTTTTGCAGAATTGCTTTGTTTGTAATTGGGAAATACAAATTAATTGGTTTGTAGTGCTTAAGATTATTATGCTTGTTTCGCTCAAAGTATTTGGTGCGGTGTGTGAGATTTCATTAAATATAGTTATGTGCTCATGCAATGACTCACAGTTTAACAGATTTCATGATGGCCAATTTCTTCCTGAATTATGGATTCAGTTAGCAGCTTTTTGCAGTGTGCTTGAATTTCATCATAAGGATAATGTTAGTTGGTGTGTTTGATTTATATAAATTTACCTACATAAGTATGGAAATGCAATGTTCCATCATTTCTTCGGAATACCAATAATCTTAATAAGCGCCAAACCTACGTGTTTAACATTACTTAAAAGTTGTTTCTTGTCCTAAAGAGGTAAATTACGGTTTGAAGTTTTATTAAAGATAATCCATATATTCATTTCCACAATGATCACATAGTAGATGGTATGATTAAAATGCAAGTAAAAATTCACTTGTGCTAAAAGACAAGTACATCTAGAGATATTAATATCGCAGGAGGCGATATCTAGACAATGTAACAGTAAGGTGTATGAACTTTCAAAGCTGAATACAACAATATTTAGATTCGTTTTTTACATAGCACTATAAAAACAACCTGATAGAATATTAAGAAAACAATCTTTAAATTGAAAGTTTATAGAAATAAAAGTAATAGTCAGATATGAAGACGGCTGACACATAAAATAAACAAGTCAGCTTGGTAAACCTTCACTGAAAGCAGTAATTAGTACCCATCATGTTACACTTGACCACTGTAACAGAAATCGATTTGTTTTCAGGTTAGTTCAAAAAGAAGGAATTAATCGCAAAATGGAGAATAAATACAACGGGCAACACTAATTTACGGAACTCATTGATTTATACAAAGGTAAAACAGGGTCAGCAAACTGATAAAAAGTCAGTGGTTGGTACATATATATTGTGTAAGTAGGCTGGTAGGGCTGAAAATTCGACATGATCAAAGTATACATGCAAATAAAATGAATACCCAAAATAAGAAGTAAAATAGGTTAGCATGGAATTATAACTTCAGTTTTCCATCCGAAACTAGAGTAAGAACCCTCAGAAGGCGTCATGACAATATTCGTATGAGTCTAATAGTCGTAGCATGTATATGATTAGGAGAAAACACAACCACATAGAAAACTCTATAGCAGTCTAAGATAATTAATTTAGAGCTTCACAGTTAGAGATAACATAGTTCAAAAAAGATTACTTCATTCACTTGCATTTTATTTAGAATTCTTATTGCCATTTGTCAAAGCAAGCTCGTAAAGATATCATCAATGAGAGGTAACCTTTTAAGTACTATAGGAGAATACAGTAAATGTTTAATGCATGAACTGTATGACATATATATATATATATATATATATATATATATATATATATATATATATATATATGCAACATAAAATAATAGTCTGTGTGGCTTTCAGCAAAGCAAGGCTACCACAGAAGATACATAAGACAGTTGATCTGGGTTTCTACTACAGCAGTATCTGAAGTTCAACTTGCTCATCGATATAAGGAAATAAACCATAAAGTTTTAGCTGGAGTATCTAAAGTCACTAGTTGTATAAGCGATAAGAGGAAGTGACTCCTTCTGAAACCAAAATTCAAAAAGTTCATACAAGGTTTAAGATGACTGAAAATTTTGAAATGTTGCTCACAAACAGTTCATTGTACTGAAAAGCTTTCTCAACTTCGCAGTTTTTATTACATCTTTTTAGGATTCAGCAGGGTTTCTAGCTTAATTTAGCTTACCAAACTTCTACGTGCACAATATTGATTAGGCAGTTTACAGTCAGAAATGCTTTGGACCTTGAGCTAAGCAAAACAAAAGCCACCGAACTATTTTTGAATTCATCATCTTTTCTATTGCTTGTGAACAACTGGTAAGATGCTTTTGTTCATATAAGTGTAAAGCCTCGGAGCAAAGGAAACATGTGATTTCATATTAGGGTTTTTTATTTGATATAACACAATAACAGATACTGTGTCACTGTGCGTTATATCAGATAAACAAATCTAATGCAGAAGACCACTTTGGATTTGGAATTGCTTGTTATTCTTATTTCTGAACTGCATTGGTTTCCCTTTGTTAACATATGGTATTTTGAACGGTAATTTAGTGGAGATAGCTTCGGGGTCTGAAGTTCGGGAATCGTCCTTGTGCGAACTTCACAGACCCAGAGGCCAGTCACTAATTGTTCGTACTTTTAATGTACTCACAAATGCGAGACCGAGGGAGAACACAATAGCATAGTCAGATGGAATAGTATGTTTGCGAGGTCGTGCCAAAATACCGATGCGTTCCGACTAGCCGGCTAGAGGATCGATTGAGAGCAGTGTAACGTAACTTGACAACATACCGAATGGCATGGATGCTTGGCCATGTGTCTTCAGCTTAGCGAGTTCGATAAAACTAGAAAGGTCAGCATCACTGTTGAATCTCGTCGAACCCTAAGTTATTGATTTTAGGGAATTATGTGGCGCTGCAGATCACTCCCACCCTAGTGGGTTTGTAGGGACCTTAAGAAAATATCAGTTGGCAGTAAGAACCCAGTGGTTTCACCACTAGTAAACCTCTCCCGAAAGGCTCACAGAGAGGAGTAACCCCTGTTGTCTGAAATTATACTGGGCTGTCGTTCCGAAAGAAAAATGAAATTATGCGCCTATTGCCACCCTCAGTGCTCGTTGCACCTGGAATAGAAAAAAAGTCTTTACTACCACGAAGACGTTTTGCGAAAATCAGAAACATTTATGCGCCATATGTGGAAAGAATTGACGTTTAAAATGTTTTCCCGAAAAAGGTATGAGTACATGGAAATTTGAAAGTCAAAATAGTTGGCTCAATTTTACTCACACCATTCAGCTGATTAAATCTGTAGGTAATCCGAGAACCTGATGGTTCCACTTGATCGTGTTTCAGGTTGCGCAGGTGATTGTTGTATCTGCTCATCATTAGGCATATTGTCAAGAATTTCGACTACCGGTCCATTTGCCGGTTGGTTATAGTGACCTAAAATGTTACCTATGATGGGATCACCCTCAGAGTAAGCTGGTTTCGAACGGTCGATACTAACGAAATTTTAACCTCCGTTTCGTTCCACTAAGTGGAATTTTTCGTGCTGCTTGATGACCTTGAATGGTCTATCATTAGGTGGTTCAAGTGGTTGACGAACGGCATTGTCGCTCAAGAAAACACGCGAAATCCTTCGTGAAATGGAATGAACGAAGACGTCATCTGTTTGGGGTTAACAGGAGTGAGCCTAACTGAACCCGTTGCATTTGTAGGCCTGGTAACATAAAGTGTCCCACCAAACACATTTGTGAAAGTTGATGGGGAAACGAACTCACCTGGAAGATCAAGAGTAGTCTCGCAGACGAGTTCTGAAGGAGTGTACTCGGCCTTAGCTTTCAACGCATTCCGGATACCCAGTACGACTAGACCCAGGGCCTCGGTCCACTGAGGTATGTTTGGGGCTGAAAAGGATCCATCTTTCGTGGAAAAAAAGCAACAATTTCGTAGTAATATCCTTAATGGGTATTGCTTCTGTCCATCTCGTAAGATGATCCATGCATGTGAAAGGCAAATGCGTCCATTAGATTCTATCAAAGGCCTACAATATGGACATGGTCGAAAGGCATGCCTAGGACTAAGAGAGAACCTAAAGGGCTTTTTGTGTGTAGTGTGACTACGCTTTTGACAAGCAACGCACGATGAAACTCACTTTTTAACGTCGCTGTTCACTGTGAACCAGCAGAAACGTTGTGTGATAAACCTGACGGCGACAGGTACACCTGGGTGGAACAGTT